ATATCCTCCATCTCTTTCGTTTGAGATCTGTTTCCTTGTCTCGGCATTTTCGCTGCTTCCCAGAGTTGGTAGAATGGCTTTGTGTGTTTGGTGTCCTATATGGCCCAGTGGGTCAGCCTTCCCAGTTACCTGAGGTAGACACTTTTGTTGCTCCCCTTGTGGACTGCGTGTACAGCCTTGTTGTAGTTAAGTCTTAATTGTTGTTGGTATCCCTGGGAGGAATTGACCTTCAGGCCAATTGGCTGTGTCTACTTCAGGATAACTTCTGTATTGGAGACAGTCTTATAGGATCAGACTTGCAAAATTGCAAAAGCCTCTGTGCTCAGCTTGGATGGGGCGGAGTCTCAGGGCTGAGCTGATAGTTTTGGCTTCCCATCAGCCCTGCCCTTGTGCGCTTGCCTGAGTTTCCGCCTGACCTCTGCCTTCTGCGGCTCCTCTGAGTTTCTGCCTGACCGTCCCAGATTCCCCCTGCAAGAGCATGGGTGCCCCAGGGGCTCGTCCAGAATTGGGTTGGGTCTCTGTAGTCTGGAGCTTCTCACTCCTTCTGCTATACAGAGGCCGTGGGAACCTCTGAAGTCAGATCTCTCTACATGCACTCACTCGTGTGCGACTGTAGACCCTGCCCACTGCGACTCCCGGCTTCCCCAGTCTCCCAGTCTCTGAGTCTCTGGGTACCTTTCCCTACATTCCAGACTTCACTGTATGAGCCTGGGTCCATGGGGTTTCAGCCAGGGTTGGGGTTCAGTACAGTCAGAAAGGGTTCAGTGCAACCGGGGACTTCCTTTCCCCTCTCACCAGCCAGGTATTCAGCTGCACTTCCTCTCTACACGCGAATCACCCTACCTCAGCACTTTGCAGCTCCCAATCCGATCCATGAGCCTCTCTCCTTCTTTCTAGTTGTAGATTTCCCATTCTGCCAGCTTTCCTGTGTTTTTAGATGATGTCTGTTCTGATTTTAGTTGTTGTTTTGAAATTGTTGTGCGAGGTGGCAGCTTAGGAGCTTACCTAGGCCGCCATCTTGGTTCCTCCTCTGGGCACCACCATCTTGTGGCTATGGGGGTTGCCATCGTTTATGATGATGTGACAGTCAATTTGCATATTCCCTCTTCATTAGCTAAGATCTTACTTTTATAAATAAGCATATATAGCTCTTTAAACTTTACCAATTAAAAGTATTAGCGAGTATAGGAAATTAAGAATAATTATATATATATTCTGCCCTCCCAGTGATCACTATTATTACCTCTCTAAATTTCTAAGAATACTACTTATATGAAATATACTTTTCATGGATATATACTAAAATACTGGAATAGGGATATCCAATATAATAAAAGCCCAGCTACCAAATGGCAGAATCACTGGGAACTACCAGAATAACCAGAATGACTACAGCCCCTTGCCCTGGCTGGCCCCATCCTCCAGCAGCCCTCCTCTCCAACCCCAATTGGAGTTGGGCAACTGGCAAACTTCCTGTGGCCCCTCACCCTGGCTGACCAGGTCCCAATGGCCCCCATTGGAGTGGTCTGGCTGGACCCCACTCATGTACTGGGCCTCTATAGAAATATAAAACCCTACCCTGCCACCACTCCTACCCAACCTGCCAAAGTCTCCTGAAACCACAGAATTAGATCACTGATTCAAGCTAGCAGTTCAAAGTGTAAAGCCTCATTCACACTGAGGAATTGGCACTTCTCTCCTTCCCCTTGGACTCCATGTCTCGGAGGAGGCATGCACGGTATAAATGCACAAGTGAAAGCTCAGAAAAGTCACCCTGTTGGGGTCGTGTGGTGCCTCCAGGCAGAGACAAACTGATCACCAAAAGCCAAGCACCAGACTCTGTTCCTCTTCACCTGCAGCCTCAGCTCTAGGCATGTACTCCCCAAGTCAGGATACAAGGAGAGCTCCATCTCAGCTCTTCTCAGAGACGGGAATGCTCAGGAGGCCTAGATAACAGAAACCTAAGCGCCCAAATGCTGGGGCGCATGCTGCCAGGGCCGGCTCAGCCCAAGGCCAACGGGAGCTCAGCCCAAGATCTGGTCCAATTCCTAACCCAGCTGTGGTCAGCCATCCTTTTCACAATCCAGGGCTGCTGGCTCCCAGCTGCTTGCCTGCCTGATCACCCCCAACCACTCCCCTGCCAGCCTGATAGTCCCCAACTGCCCTCCCCTGACAGCCCGGTCACACCCAAATGCCCTCCCCTGCGTATTCCCTCTTTATTAGATAGGGTTTTTTTTCTTTGACATATTGAACAGTGTAACTGCCATGGTCTTGACAAACCAGTAAAAATGTAAACCCAAACTAAAAGTATCATAAAATAAACTCATTAAACAGGAATTTCATGAGACATTGGAAAGGTGATACCATGTGGTTGTTTCTTCCTTTTTGCCTTCTCTTTCTTTTTCTTATGTTTCATCTTTTGTCCTTTCTTTCATTTCTCCTTTTATTCCTTTTCTGTCTGTAATCATTCTGCTGGGGGCAAAGGAAATTCCAAGGCTATAGGTGTGTATGTGAGGATCACTCCATGGGGGCAAAGGCCCTTTGGAGGCTGACACCCCAGGCTGCCCCAGGGAAGGGAGAGCTCTTGGGGACACAGCTCCCTCCCAGGCCTACAGCCCCGCACCCTCTGGCTGTGGATAGGAGCTGATCGCTGGGGGAGACTGGGAGAAGAGATAGGCGGTTGTGGGCACCTCCCAGGCCCACAGCCCAGGCTGATGCTAGAAGCAGATCACGCATGGCAGTGGGGGGTAGAGAGGTGAAGGGGCCGGGAGGGAGGGCGAGGCCACTGCCCAGGCCTCGGCTAAGGTTGCCACTGGGAGTGGATCATGAAGGGGGTGCACTCTGCCTCCCAGGCTGATGGCCCAGGTTGCAGCTGGAAGCTAGTTATGCCAGGGGTGCATGACTGCCTCCCAGGACACTGCTCAGGTCACCACTGGGACCTGATCACACCAGGGTGTGTGCCACCTCCCAGGCCTACGGCCCAGATCGTGGCTGGGAGCGGAACTCGTGATGGGGGTGGGTGCATGTGCGCTGCCTCCCAGGCCTATGGCCCAGGTCACTGCTGGGAGCTGTAGTGCCTGGGGTGCACGTCTGCCTCCAGGCCACTGCCCTGGTCGAGGCTGGGAGAGGATCATGCTGGGGGTGAGAAGGCACCCCCCAGGCCAACAGCCAGGGCCTCATGCTGCCTGCTCTCAACAGCAGCCTTCCATGGGCCTGAGAGGACTGGGCGTGGCCATCTTGTGTCTATGGGTGCCGCCATTTTGTCGTGGAGTGATGGTTAATTTGCATATTACTCTTTTATTAAATAAGATGTGCATCAATCCTTCCACTTTCAGGGAAAAGGGCAAAGGAGGGTTGCTGAAATTGATAAGGGAGGCAGCAGGGTGAACTTTTGGGGGGGAGAAGGGGAGAGTTTCCTCCTGATAAGGGCCTTCAAAGGACAGCAGCCTACTTCTGCTATCCTCTGTCCCCAGAGACACAGTTTCTGGTTGGCATCTGGCAGGATGGAGCAGTTGCAGGTACAGGACTGGGAGCACCTTTCTGCATGCAGCTCCCTGGACAGTCTCTTCCGGCCAAGGGAATCTTTGTTCTAATGCTTTTTCCCAGTGCCAGGGCTGCTGGCTAGTCTGGGGCAGGAGGGCAGAATGGAGGTGGGGAAGGATAGGAAGAAGCATGGGGTAGAAAACTAGGGGTGGGGGATAGAGAGGGTGAAATCTGTGTGTGTGTAGGATGGGGAGGGCTGGTGCAGAAGGAGAGTTGGGGGTCAGCATAGGGAGGTTTGGAGGTACTGGGAGAGTAAGAGGGACCAACAGATGCCAGAACAGGGGAAAGGGTCTATGGAATCAGGTGGGGATCCACCAGGGTGAGTATACACTAATTCCCTTCCCCAGAACCAGACATCCCAGGTGGCTAGTGGGAGGGGTCCATAGTGAGGCACTGAGCCCCCTACAATTTGTGTCTGAGGCTCCAGAACATGTGGCCAACATGCACTTTGGCAGAAGTGGCATTCAGACATCCACTGAGGGGTCCCAGATTGAAGAGGGTGCAGGTTGGGCTGAGGGACAACCCTCCCCTTCCCGCCCCCCCTTTGCTCCCCGCCACAGCACATGAATTTCATGCACCAGCCCTCTAGTCTGAATATATATATATAAAAGCTTAAGCAACTGAATGACTAGTTGGCCAGTTGCTCTGACACACACTGACCACTGGGGGGCAGATGCTGAATGCAGGAGCTGCCCCCTGGTGGTTAGTGCACTCCCACAGGGGGAACACCACTCAGCTAGAAGCCAGGCTCACAGGCTCAAGGACTCATGGCTAGTGAATGCAACAGCAGTGGCAGGAGCCTCTCCCGCCTCCATGGCAGCACTAAGAAGCAGTGAGCTGAGCGGTAAGGAGCAGTGTGCAGGTCAGCAGTAAGGAGCAAGGGGTCCCAGACTGCGAGAGGGATGTCCTCTAAGGGCTCCTGGACTGCGAAAGGGTGCGGGTCAGGCTGAGGGACCCTCCCTTCCTGTGCATGAATTTTGTGCACCGGGCCTCTAGTATTACATAAAAATTAGGCCTTTAAGAAATGACTGGATAATGTGAACAAGTTTCCATATCCTTAAAAATATTTCTGCAACTTTATTTTTAGGGCATCAGCTTAGATATGCTGATTTCCCCTTGGATTAAAGTTACACATAAAAATAATATGATGGATAAATGAAGTAACCTAGCCAGTTGAGATCTCATCCAACAACTTTGATTTTAGACTGTGAGGAGCAGTATATATGTTTTCCCTTACTGAATTAGTTTAAACAATTGCTGTTAAGCCCTATTTCATGTAGACTTAGCAATAAGTCCTTTTATTTCCTTTTAAAATACTATATCCACAGTTATAAAAAGAAGACATATGCGGCAACTATCTGGTTATTTTGACCAATATAACTTTTCATGATTTTTACTTTTGGTAGGCATTTTGTTAACTGTTACTTTAAAATAGTAATCTTGTCTTATTTTTCCAGAGTTTTACAGAGGCTAATTATCCTGGCCTAAACGAATTAACCTCTGTTGGATGTGCGCTGTCCATTACTGGTCTGATTCTCACAATTATATTTCAGATTGTCACCAGGTAAGAAGGGGAGTTGGCTCTTCTCAGGAGAGAGATTGCTGTCCTTTTTATTTCCTCTGAGCAAAGAGCCCATTTTTAGTGTACATATGTACTGTATGTTTTCCCCATTAGCATGTAAATTGATGAGACTAGTGACCTTCTCTGATTTTGTGGTTGCTGTTGTTTGTTTTGTTTTGTTTTCACTACCATATCCCCAAGGCTGACCACAGGAGAGGAATGGACTCATAGCAGAGGAATATCTGTAACATAAATGGGTCGACCTACTTTTCCTCTCATACTCAAGATAACTTGAATTCATTTTTCTTTCAGATTTATTTCTCTACTAAATTCCTTCACAAGTGTTTTCTCAGATGTGTAGAGGAGAGAGAGAAAGAGAGAGAGAGAGAGAGAGAGAGAGAGAGAGAGAGAGAGAGAGAGAGAGAGAGAGAGAGAAAGATAGATGTTCCTAACTGGCATATATAATTATAGTAATGGTTGGGAATAATAATTTTCAAACTTAGCATTTTATATTAGTCATTATATTCCTTCATAAAAAAGTGTACCCTCCACCCTAGTCACTGTGGCTCAGTTGGTTGGGCACTGCCTCATGCACCAAGAGGTCACCAGTTTGATTCTCTATCAGGGCACGTGCCCAAGTGTCAAGTTCTATCCCCTGTAGGAGGCAGCTGATGGCTGTTTCTCTCTCACTAGTATTTCTCTCTCTCTCTCTCTCTCTTGCTCTCTCTCTCTCCCTTCCTCTCTCCCTTCCTCTCTCTTAAAAAAAAAGTACCCAGAAAAGGGTACTCTTCAATGTAACCAGAGGGAGTCCCTTGATGTTATTTTGTCATGTTCCTATCAGTCTTTAAGTACTTCCTTATTTCAGGCACAGCAAGATGATAAAGGCACATCTATCACTTTCTTTGCCCTGTACTTAAAATCAGCCATATTTCCAAAGAGCCAGAATTCTTTTTTATTTCTTTTCTTTATCTTTCACACTCAATGAGTCTCTTGCCATTCATTTAAAATTCTTATACTGAGTGCTTACTATGGGCCAACCACCATATGAATAAGACAGGTTAGCTCTCATCTCTCATGGGGTTTACATTTTCAGGGGGAAGACAAATGTTATACAAATATACTGTGTACAGAAATTTATATATAGTAGGTCCTCAGGTTACATTGGAGATCCGTTCCTATGGTGTGAAGTAATGCAATTTTCGTCGTAAGTCAGAACCCACCTACATAAGCACGTATGTCACTCACATTGAGCACATACACAGCAGTAATGAAGGGAAACAGTAAAAAAACAAACAAACAAAAAAAAAAAAACTTAAAAGAAAGATAACAATTCCTGACCTTTACTTGTGGTAAATAAGTAATAAAAAACATAAGGCACATATGTAAATATGTCAAAATAACCAAACTTCTTTTTCATAAATAAATGGAGATGGCGAAGTAACCAAGAAATGACATACATTGAGTCCTATGTAACCCCAGGACTGCCTGTAAATAAATGCATGTCATAGCTACCAGCCAGTCGGCCAGTCAGCTGGTCACTTAAGCAGAAACCATAGGCATGGAAGCATGGGACAGACTGATGAATCTCAGAGGAAAGGGGGGAGGGGGAAGGGCAGGAAGAAATTAACCAAAGTTCTTATAATCATACTAGAGGCCCGATGCACAGATTTGTGCATGGGTGGGGTCCCTCGGTCTGGCCTGTGGGGATCGGGCCAAAACTGGCTCTCTGACATCCCCCGAGGAAAGAAAATTACATGCTATGTAATTACAAGTCAGTCATACAAAAATAGATGGCTCTTATATTTGTCTTTTAATTTGTTTTCTACCATCACCACACTGGAGCATTCAGTTATTGGATCCCATTGAAATAATTGTGGTAGCAGCATAACTAGTTTCTTTGCCTAAAATGTTACTCGTTTGAATTATTATCAGATTTCTTTCTTTCTTTTTTTTTCTCTTTCTTTCTTTCTTTCTTTCTTTCTTTCTTTCTTTCTTTCTTTCTTTCTTTTTTGCATCCTCTATCAACATGTTTCTTAGGACAATTTGTGCTATCATAGATGTTACTAAAAAGCCATCAGGAAAAAAACACAAAAATAAAAACAAAATTATGTTGATTTTAAAATCCTGAATCAAGTTTGTTTTGTTTTGTTTTGTTTTTGTTCATGGGCAGGTTCCCATATTAATGTAATATATTATAGTCCCAGTGCATGAATTTGTGCATGGGTGGGGTCCAGCCAGCCTTGCCAGGGTGAGGGGACATGGGCAGTTGGCCAGCCTGCCTTCAGGTCAAACTCCTGGATGAGAGGACAATTTGCATGTTAGCCTTTATTATATAGGATATACACCGAGTGGTCAGATTATTATGCGTTCAGAGATCATAATAATCTGGCCACTCAGTATATATTATAAATTTATGTGCATATATAATGAAGCACAGAATATTATAATATACAGAAAAACCAAGCTATTTAAAAAGAGTCTATTCTCCTGTGGATTATAATATATTGTTGAAATTGAAGAAAAATTAAAAAGTAATGTTATTTTTATGAAAGGATTCTTTTGACTATTTTTTGTAGTTGTCAACTAAATCTCAACTGAAATATCAAGAGAATGGACAAAGTTTTGTTTGAATATAAACTTTATATTCAGCATGGAAATTCAAAGACTGAGAAAGATCATGATATAATATTATAAAATCATAAAAGATATATATTCTACAAACAGACATCAAATTCTGGGACATCCTATATAATAAAGAGCTAATATGCAAATGGTCATCACATCCTCATGCCATCATGCCTTAAAGGCTCAGACACTCAACACTGGGGAGAGAGGAATGGGCACCAGCCAAGCACAAATGAGCTCTCTAGAGAGAAATGGGGACCAATCAGGCTGTGGCCTGGGAGAGGGACAAGCTACATGACCACCAGACCTGGGCATCAGTGGCTATGCCTGCGCCTGCATCCCGGGAGAGGGACAAACCGCCTGCTCTGTAGTCCTGGGTGCCAGTGGCTGGGGCCAATCTGGGTAAAGCCAGCACAGGTCCTGGGTGCCTGCAGCCAGCTACAGGGAGGGAAGCTCGGCTCCCAGGTGCCTTCAACTGGCCGGAAGAGGGAATTTTGGGTCCCAGGTATGGGGCGAGGCAGAGGCAGTTAGGGGCAATCAGGCCAGTAGGGGAGCAGTTAGAGGCAATCAGGCCAGTAGGGGAGCAGTTAGTGGTGATCAGGAAGGCAGGAAGGTAAATAGTTAGGAGCCAGTGGTCCCGTATTGTGAGAGGCAGTCGTACATCCCTCAAGGAGTTCCGGAGAAGGTACAGGCTGGACTGAGGGACCCTCACCCCCGTCGCATGAATTTTGTGCACTGGGCTTCTAGTTAAAAATAATGGGACACTTGGGAAATTGTTATTCTAAGAGGCCTTGCAGTCTGAAAAAATCTAGAAGGGTTTAGATGATAGTAAGTGTAGATTTTATAACTTTCATTAATATAGGACTATATACCATAGTCTACAGAGAATTGTAATGTCATTAGAGGGGATTTAAGGATATACTTGCATTTAAATATTACAGAAAACAATACAGTAAATGGAATGTCAAACCTCACACTTGAGATCAACTTTATTAAGGCCAATCTTGAATTCTATGCCAACCTCAAATATATACATGGTCCATTGAAGATATCCCTCTCTCTCACTTCTCAAGTCTTTCTCTATTTCATTCACCGCCTTCTAAAGATTTCTGTTAAACAATGCCAGCCTGCAGACAAAATGAGAAAAGGCTTTTACAGAAAAATCTTAGGTAAATATGAGATGAAGATAAAAACCATTTAAAGAGCACTTGGTTCTATATCCAAAATTATATCTTCCAATGAAAGGACAGTCCTTGGACATGTTTGACATTAAAAGACTCATTCAAAACATCTTGACCATTTGACTATCAGCAAGTATTTCCCAAAGTATGGTCCCTGAAATTCTAGTCCTTGGGAGATACTCCATAGAAAAAAGGCTCTGAGATGTCTTACAGAAAAGACACATGTGAAATGTTGAGTATAAGCCATTTACAGGGACAGTAATCATCAGACTATTCAAGTTATGAAGAATATCATTGGAACAATAGGCTGTTAAATGAATTGTAAATATTTTCATTTAATTTAAAAGGTTTACTTTTTATTTATTTATTAATATTTTTATTGATATTTTTGCAGAGAGGAAGGGAGAAAGATAGAGAATTAGAAACATCGATGAGAGAGAAACATCGACCAGCTGCCTCTTGCACACCCCCTACTGGGGATGTGCTTGCAACCAATGTATATGCCCCTGACCGGAATCGAACCTGGGACCTTTCAGTCCGCAGACCGATGCTCTACCACTGAGCCAAACTGGTTTCGGCCTGAGTAGCATTTTTAAAATATTCAGGATATGAGAGGAAGGGAAAAAGAATGGAGGCAAAAGGAAAAACAGGAATGTCAGCTTGTTATGACTTAGTGTGTCCCAGGCACTTTTGCCTTTGTGAGACTCCCCTCCATAAAAATTATGTTTTATGACAGCATTGATATAAAGATGAACATATTAATATTATTACTTTATAAATGCTACATTTTTCTTTGACATGAAAGTTCATTTTTGTTTGTTTTGGATTGAAAGGGGTTGAAACGTTGCTGTGGGCCACAAAGGTATTGAGGGCCCTCAGCACTCCGGAATCTAACGGTCAAGTTGGCCCTGGCTTCCAGGCCTTCTGCTGCACTCTGTTAATTAAAACAAGTGACAGGCCAGCGCTGGAGGTGAACATCAGGGAATATATAATGGGAAGTATGTATTGGGGTCTTCTCTGGAGAACAGCTGTCACCTTTGATCAGAACACGGTTTTAAGAAAGGATGTATCAGCCTGTCTTTTTCTAACTCACTTCCTTGTGGACATGAGATAAGAGGGGAGTATGGTTTTCTTATGTAGCAGGGAAGGTAGGTTTACCAGCTGTCCCACTGGGCCATGCGCTGGATTTACATTTGATATTAACATTCCGTTGTTCCCTCATGATTTCACTTGAATTTATGTTTTGCAGTTATTTTGTTTATTTAATTATACTTACCGATTTATTTTCAGGAAAGTCAGAAAAACCTCAGTAACCTGGGTGTTGGTCAGTCTGTGCACATCAATGTTGATTTTCAACCTCCTCTTTGTGAATGGAATTGAAAACAAAAATAAGTATGAAAATGGTACTGGTGATGCTAATAAAAATGAAATTAAGCCAGAAATCCTTCCAAATAAAACGTGTACGGCGATTGCTATCTTGCTGCACTATTTTCTGTTGGCGATGTTTACCTGGACTGGAGTCAGCGCTGTGCAGCTCTACTTCCTTCTGATCAGGACCATGAAGCCTCTTCCTCAACGGTTCACTCTTTACATGTCTTTAATTGGATGGGGTAAGCGCTTGCTTCTCTACCTACCCAGAAATTTAATTCTGTTGAAATTATTTATTTACTTTGTGATTATCTTGATTTATTGGGGTGACATGGGTTATACAGGTTTCAGGTGTACAATTCTGTAATACTTCACCTGTATATTGTACTGTGTGTTCATCACTGCAAGTCAAGCCTCCTCCTATTTCTATTCATCCCCCCTTTACCTTCTCCAACCTTCCCACCCCCCAGCTTTCCTTCTCCTCTGGTAAACACCATGCTGTTGTCCATGACTTTGGGGTTTTCTTTTGCTGAATCCCTTCAACTTTGTCACCCAGCCCCACAAAACCTCCCCTCTGACAGTTTGTCAGCCTGTTCTCTACCTATGAGTCAGTTTCTATTTTGTTTGTTAGTTTATTTTTGTTCACTAGATTCCACATATGAGTGAAAACATACGGTACTTGTCTTGCTCTGACTGGCTTATTTCACTTAGCATAATGCTCTCCAGCTCCATCCATGCTGTCACATCCTTCTTTTTTGCAGATGTGTAGTATTCCATTGTGTAAATGTATCACAGTTGTTTTTTTTTTGTTTTGTTTTTTTGTTTGTTTGTGTTTTTTTTTACTGGATACTTTGGCTGGGTACTTTGGCTGCTTCCAAATCTTGACTATTGTGCAATGAACATAGGGGTGCATATATTATTCCAAATTAGTGTTTCAGGTTTTTTCAGATAAATTCCCAGAAGTGGAATTGCTGGGTCATAAGGCAGATCCATATTTAATTTTTTGAGGAACCTCCATATTGCTTTCCACAGTGGCTGCACCAATCTGCATTCCCAACAACATTGTACCAGGATCCCCTTTTCTCCACATCTTTGCCAACACTTGTTTGTTGATTTATTGATGCTAGCCTTTCTGACAGTTGCGGGGTAATATATTATTGTGGTTTTAATTTGCATTTCTTTAATGGAAATAATTTAATTTAAGCAAGTGTCTATTGAAGACTTAATTGTATGATGACCCAATTATAGGGGAGATGGAAAACTCAGAGGTGTCTCCCACCTAATAGCTCACAGTTCTGTGGAAGGAGATGGATCATGCTAGATATATCATAAGCTAACTTCAAGACGTTAATTTTCTTCAACATCTCTATTCATTTGATTTGCAATTTAGACCAGAAAAACTTTCTAGCTACTTTAAAAACATTTTTAAAGAAAGAAAATGAGAGTGACTCTTTAAGAAAAATAATTTCAAAACTGTTGACCTACAGCTGTAGGATCATTTAGTACATTGTCTATAGTGGAAACAACAATACATCTTGTAAATGGTTAATTGTATAATTCATTCATGTTCTTTTATAATTAATGCCAGTATTGGGTAAATTATTAATTTTGTTCCTCTCTTTATTACCTAGGGGTCCCAGCTATCATGGTAGCTATGACAGTGGGAATTATTTTTTCTCAGGATTCTTCACAATGGGATCTAAACTACCGGCAAGAAGAAATGTGAGTTATATATTTTAAAAGTCCATTTCTTTGATATGAGTGTAACTGTTCAGTGATACTGAGTCCAAGTGCCACTGTACATAGGGATCTCACTATATAACTGTCATATGCTAAGTGGGTATTTAAAATTCTCAAAGAAAACATTATATTTTAAATATGGTGATATAAAAATTTCCTATGATAAATCCTTAGGTAAAGCAAGTATTTCCCTTCTAAATTTATGTATTTGAACTTCCTTAAGTTAAATTGAATTTTTATTAAGTCTGAAAAATTATAGAACAGAACAGGTGTGATTCTTAGTAACATCTTATCTTGGTTTTCTCATCTAGATAGCAGGAATGACAATAATAGTATTACCTGCTCAGAGGTTAGTGTGAGGGGTGAAACAAATGTGAAAACATTTCATAACTTAAAGTGTACTATCTATGCTTATGAGCCAATTTTATGTTTATATGATTACTAGAAGTCCCATGCATTAAGATTTGTGCTAGAATGGGCCTTCCTTTACCTGGCTTCCCTCACTACCTTTCCACTCCAGTTCAGCCCTGGAGCCGCCTCTTTCTGCTCGGCCCCATCTTGCCACGCTGCCTAGAGGCTCTAAGAGACTGGGAGTGGGGTGCAAGACTCAAGTGACTCCCCCTCCCTGTAGCTCGGTGCCTGTGTATGCAAATTAACAGCCATCTTTGTTGGGTTAATTTGCATATCACTCCTGATTGACTGGTAGGCGTAGCAGAGGTACGGTCAAGTTTACATGTTTGTCTATTATTAGATAAGCTAATGAATATTTCACGATGATTTATTACACATAACAAATTCTCCCTGTGACCCAGCAGGAATGGCTGTTAATAATGGAAGTGCCTGACTTTGTGGGGGTTGCTTTTTATGTGGAGAGGAAGAGAAGAAAGCTGAGCTGAACTTTTTACATGTATTTCTGCTACAGAACAACTGCTCTTTAATCGATCTTCCCTTCTCATCTTATAATACAACCATTCATATCTCCAGATTCCACCTTAAGACCCAGATCAACTCAAATAAAAATAAAAGTTTTGGAAATGTACAGTACACCCAAGGGAAGGCTGTGGTGTTAGAGTGCTTACCTATTGCTAGGGCTAACCATGTCCAGGTATGGAATAGGAGTCTATCTGCCTGGTTTGAATATAGGAACCAAGCACTTCAGGTATTATTTTCTCTGTTTAATTAGGGTTACGTATCTTTCAATGAGTTTTACATTTTGAATTACGAAATTAGAGATTGGGATAAGATGCACATATCTCTTGGGAGAGGTAATTCACTTCAAAGTGCATTTTTAATTTCCAACTTGAACCCAGTCACAGGGCTAGGCCTATTTCTATAAAAGCCTTTAGGAGAAAGAAGACTACTATCTTACATTTATTCTCACTGGGCTGTAAATAATTGAGAGCAAATTCCTTCCTGATTCTTTCCTGGGCACTGTATTGTATGTTAGGGAAGACACTAGGTGGCTGATAAGAGGAGCTTGGAAGAGAGGAAAGGATGTGTAACATCTGCCTCCTCTTGGACCATTATCCCCCATATTCCACCCTATACACAGGCATCAAGGGCCACATTCCTTCAGGATTTATTTAGAAAGTGGAGGGACTTTTTTGGCTTTCCTAAGTTTTCCTCCCAGTTGTTGAACCTCAATATTCTATGCTCTCCCCCACTGCTCCCTGCTCTGCCAATGATACCTGAAACTCCTAACCCAGTTCCCCTCACGTAATGCTATCTTTACAAGAAGGACCCAATTAAGAGGTAAATGCAAGGCTGGCCACATTTCTCCTTAATGCTCTAGCCCCCAATCATCTGTGCCATCATCATGTAGGCTGCTTTCAGACTTTCCTGATGGATTGATGTAATTATGATAAATTTTAATGCATGAAGAGGGAAATTATTGAACTGTATGCTATATATCCTAAAACTTTCTTCATGGTGCGCTGCATGGGAAACTCACCAAGCAGTTAAATACTTCATCTGGAGTCTACTTGAGATGCTCTTCTGAGCTCAGGTCCACAGTTTGTTTGTCAGTTCATCCTCGACCATGTGACTCTCCAGTCTCCACTCTAGAAATCTTCTCCATGCCTACAGGGTTAGTCTCACTGTAGGATCCATCTCTCTCCTCAGCGGCTTATTTCTCAAAGTCCTAGTTATTAAATTAGGGATCACAAAGGGAATGGCTGTTGTGAGAACAAATTCAGTATGATTATCTCTCCAAGCAATACAAATATAGAGGGGGTGAGGAGTTCTCTCCTGGTGCACACTTCCTAATGACCATGGGTGTCCAAGCCTCTTTCCCTCCAGGTCCCCATCCATGTGAGTTCATTGAATGCCAAATAAATGCAAGGGCTTCTCACATTAACAACCAAATGTCTGTTTGACACCTCCGCTTGGGTATTAATGTGAGAAGAATATACAAGAAACACTGATTACCACTGGAGATAGAGACTAGTAATTTTGGGTAATTGTAGGTCAGTCTTATCTTTCTGTGAGTGTTTGCACCATTTAAAGTTTGAGTCACCTAGATGTGCTATATATTAAAAAAATAAAATTAAACAATAATTTGCCTAAAGTCAGACACCTGGTTAGTGACAGAGAATGGCATTTAAATTGGGGATTGCCTGACTCAAAAACCCATTTTCATTTTTCCATTAGGTTGAATTCTTAAAAGCCATCTCAAATAAATAGGATGCAAAAGGATATTCTCTTTCAGCCAAGTGGACATCAGTAATAACAGCATGGAGAATTAGTATGTAAAGCTTTCTTCGTCTTCTGAAATCATTTATTTTCTCTCTACAGCTGCTGGTTGGCATTGACAAAAGAAAATGAGTTTAAAAGAAGTCCACTTTTGTGGTCAGTCGTTTTACCTGTGGCCATTATCCTCACCAACAATGTTGTTCTATATATTATCATTATAGTCAAAGTGGTGTGGAAGAATGACCAGAATCTGACAAGGTAAGATTCCCAGGAAATAAGAAGCTGCCAGGCGTGACTCATCGAGCACATGAAAGAGCACCCTCATATATCTGCACTTCCTAGAAAAGTTTTCCCGACTCTGGGACAAAGGCAGGGGTATGTGGTTGCAGGCAGATGCTCTCTTAAACTTTGTCTCAGAAAGTAGATATTCTCACCTTCCAACATCAGCACTATAATGTGGGTGCGCTGCATCACACAACATACTTTTGTGCTACATGAGCCCAACTAAAAAACTCTACTTACGTTTTCTCCCAAACATTCAATAAATCAGATTTGGATAAAGAAATGGGAGTGCTGCGAACAAATGCTGGTAAATGTATTTTGTAAACTAGTAGCTGTAGGTTATGTTGTACATGTGTTGCTTGAATCACATAATGTATTTCTATTTTTTATTACTTATAAGCATAAAATAACAGGAAGATTTCACTTAAAAATGTATATATATTTTTTTCCTTGGGGGGAAAAAAGATCAACAAGGCAATGTTAATCCCACATTCCCTGCAAATGGAGCATGTGCTCCCTGGTTTATCAGTTTCCATGTGGACTGCTTTTCTCCTTTATGTAACCTTCCTGACTCCAATAAAGATTTTTTTAAAATATATTTTTTATTGATTTTTTACAGAGAGAAAGGAAGAGAGATAGAGAGCTAGAAACGTTGATGAGAGAGAAACATCGACCAGCTGCCTCCTGCACACCCCCTACTGGGGATGTGCCCGCAACCAACGTACATGCCCCTGACTGGAATCTAACCTAAGACCTTTCAGTCCGCAGACCGACGCTATACCACTGAGCCAAACCGGTTTTGGCTCCAATAAAGATTTTCATTGTCATTCCTGATATACATAAAAAGCTTTCAGTTGGAGAGAGAAAGAACAGAAACTACTAAATACATAAATCCCCCCACCTCCGCCTTCTCCCACAGTACACACTGATTAAAACCTGGTGCCATTGAGGTATGAATTCAGGTTTAATTCTATAAGACTCTACTTAGCCCAAATAGACTTACTATAAGCACACCTGTGAGTTTTGCTGGTCACCAAAAGAGTGCACTCAGTATGAACAGAGGATGAAAACAACTCTCATCAGTGGGACTGTAATATTTAATATGTAATTTACTGATCAAGAGTAGTATCATCTTCCCTTTATGATAATCCATTTGAGGGGAAATATGAGGAAGAATATCAATGTTAATCATTCAAACCTATATTTTCTTAGAAATGCAGAAAAGACTAGGTGAAGTCTTCTCAGCCTAATTGCAAATTTAGTTATATTTTCTTTATACAAAACAATGTCATTTTGGCCTCAAACATCAACCAAATTTATATTTCAAAATTTTGACTGATAGGGCTTGTTCTTAAATTGGCTTAGTTATAATGAAAAGCAGGTTACAATTTAATTGTTTAACAAGTTGTCTTTCATGTATCGTTTAGCTTTCGCTGCATAACAAATCACCCTAAGACTTAATGGCTTAGATTAGAATGACAAATGTTTATTATTTGTCATAAATTTGAGCATTGGTTAGGCAGTTGTCCTGGTTCTGGCTTGAATGTAGGTGAATGATCTAGGGTGACTAATTTTCATGCCTCGTAGGTAGTAGTGGACTGGTTTTTAATGGTAGCTATTCAGTGTGGAAAAATCATTTCTCTTCCATGTGGTTTCTCATCCTATGTCAAACCAGCCTGGGCTTCTTAACATAGTGGACTCCCGATTCCAGAGAGCAATAAAGAGAAGGCAAATTCTAATTTAAAAAATGCTTTCCAGCCTCTGCTTGTGGAACAGCTGCTAATATCTCACCATTCAACATGAAATATTAGCAATTGTCTCACTATCAAGGGAAGATCACTGTCCATTTTAACAACCTTTCCTTCTATATCAGCCTACACCAGGGGAAGATTCCAGATGCCTCCATAACAATTTGTCACTAGCTGATCCAATAGTAATGATGACTAAAATAAAATTCTCTTCCAAAGAAAGAATTGATTCTTTGTGAAATTTGCCTGTAAGAAATTGTTTATGCCAGATGCAGTTATCACTGTATTTCTTAATAAAGTTATGCCATGCTGGATATTGATTCTATCCAGCATGGCATAGGTCTAACATAATTTTTCCATTGGAGGTATAATATTGTTAAATGAACAGTATACTATATGGGCAGCTGAACACAAATTCTTAACAGTAGGTTAACAATGATATTAATTTTTAAAAAAGAGTACTGAATGAATCATATTTTCTTGCTTGCTTTCTCTTACCTAGCACGAAAAAGGTTTCATTGCTAAAGAAGGTTTTCAGCACATTATCTATCGCAGTCATATTTGGAATTACCTGGATCCTGGGATTTGTTATGCTAACACATGATGGGACATTCAGAGATGTCCTCAGCTACATATTCTGCATTTTCAACACTACTCAGGTATGATGTGGATTAGTCTAAAAGTAGCAGACCGTGCAGTGGTGGAGGTGATATCTCCCTGGACCAAAGTTTTCTTATTTTAAATCTCCCTGAAGGTCATTGTTTAGTACCTTTAGGAGACTCTATTTTAATATCCTTTAATGGAAGACAAAAGAAAGCTTTTTATGACTTTATGTTCTTTCCCGTGCTGAATACACATTTTCAGATAGTTTTTTTCTCTTCTATATCTGTGAGAAATGCCAATGGAATTTTGATAGGAATTACAATTAATCTATATTGTTTTGGGTTGTATGAATATTTTCACAGTATTTATTTTCTTAATCCAAGAACTCAGGCTATCTTTCCATTTATCTTGTCTTCTTCAATGTCTTTCATTAATGTCTTATTGTTTTAGGCCTTTTACTAACTTGGTTTAAATTTATTACAAATTATGTCATTGTTTAATGCTATTATAAATAGGACTAGAGCCCTGGTGCATGAAATTTGTGCACAGGGGTAGAGGGGTTGGGGGTATGGGCGGTGTGTCCATCTGCAACCTCTCCAATCTGTGACTTCATCCCTCTCACAATCCAGGACTTCTGGCTCCCAACTGCTCGCCTGCCTGCCTGCTTGATTGCTCCTAACTGCTTCTGCCTGCCAGCCCAATCACCCCCTAACCACTCCGATGCCAGTCTGATTGATGCCAACTTGGTCACCCCCTAACTGCCTTCCCCTGCAGGCCTGGTACTCCCCAACTGCCCTTCCCTGCTGACCTGATCAGCCACAACTGCCCTCCCCTGTCGGCCATCTTGTGATGGTCATTTTGTGTCCACACAGGGATGGCCATCTTGTGTGTGGGAGTGATGGTCATTTTGCATATTACCTCTTTATTATATAAGATTATTTTCTTAATTTTTATTTCAGATAGTTTGTTGTTACTGTATAAAAATGCAGTAGGTTAACAATGATATTAATTTTTTTTAAAAAGAGAACTGAATGAACCATATTTTCTTGCTTGCTTTCTCTTACCTAGCACAAAAAAGATTTCATTGCTAAAGGTTTAGCAATGGTTTCTAGGTGTTTATTTGGTATCCTGCAACTTTACTAGATTAATTTTTTAGTTCTAACTGGTTTTTGATGGAATCTTTTGTTTTTTCTATATATATAAAATCCTGCAAGAGAATTGATTTGTTAGAAGCAGAACCTTATGAAGTTTTTATGTATGACATACCGTATTTTTCGGACCATAAGACGCACTTTTTTCCCCCCAGAAGTGGGGGGAAAAAGTCCCTGTGTCTTATGGTCCAAATATAGCCTACACATATACTTTAAAAAAAAAGTTTTTTTACTTTCCCGGCTCTGTGTGGTCTCTGTGTGCTTGCCCGGCTCTAAAATGGTTCTAAATGCTGCTGTTTACTTTACAGGGTTGATTACATGTGTTTATGACTGTGATGTTGGGTTTTAATGCACATAAAATATTTTAGGACACTATTTGTTTCAGAATCTTTTTTTCTTCATTTTCCTTCTCTAAAAAACTGGTGCATCTTATGGTCCGGAGCGTCTTATGGTCCGAAAAATACGGTAATTAAACATAGGACTGAAGGTGCTCTTATTCCTGAGTCTTATCTCAATGATACATTTAATAATTTTAAAGAACATTCTATTAATACCTTGTCTTAAAATTTGAATGAAGATTTATATATGTTTTTATTTGGAAACCATTCTATTAACATATTGGAAGCATCTCCTATAAGGAACAAAACTTTTAGAGGAAATGTGGTCATCTAATTTTCATTATGGCAAAAACTGGTATAGATAAACCAAAATGATAGATTAAAAATAAAAATAACTTTGATCTCAGATTATTTTTATATGTTTGTATTTGTGTATTATGTGTGGGGAATATAAAAACTTTAAGATAAAACAAGGATTCATTATTGAAAGACTTATGTTGAAATCACGTTCTCCTCCTGTGGCAAACACTGTCTTTTGCTCTGATGAAAAATATTACAAGGACTTTTATGTCTCTATATTTAATCTTATCTTTCCTGAGTTGGCAGAGTGAATTATACTTCAATATAATAAAAGTACCCTTATTTTATTTTTATTTAAAACATTTTCATTAATTTCAGAGACTAAGGAGAGGGAGAGAGAGAGAGAAACATCAATGATGAGAGAGAATCATAGGTTGACTCTCAACCAGTGAGCCATGCTGGCTGGGCTGAGGTGACGACTTTAATTCTAGTTTTATTAATATAATTTAAGTAAAATATAAGGATTGTAGTAGTTTTTTTTTTAAATAAATCTTTATTGTTCATATTATTACAAAAGTTCTTCATTTTTCCCCCCCTCCACTAGGTTCCCGCCCCACCCTCTGCCCTTTTCCCACCCCCCATTGTCCTCATCCATAGGTGAACAGTTTATGTTCAGTCTCTTCCCGCACCCCCCACTCCTCTTTTCTTTGAGAATCATCAGTCCACTCCCCTTCCATAACTCGGATTCTATCGATATTATATTCAACAGTTAATATTTTCATCAGGTTTTTTAATTCCCTTGGTTTTTAGATTCACTTGTTGATAGTTACATATTTGTTGTTCATAATTTTTATCTTTATCTTCTTTCTCTTCCTAAAGAACCCCCTTCAGCAATTCATATAATTCTGGTTTGGCGGTGATGAACTCCTTTAGTTTTTTTATTTATTTGTGAAGCTCTTTATCTGGCCTTCGATTCTGAGTGATAGCTCAGATAGCTGGGTAGAGTATTTTTGGCTGTAGGTTCTTGATATTCATCACCTTGAATATTTCTTGCCATTCCCTTCTGGCTTGCATGGTTTCAGTTGAGAAATCAGCTGACAATCGTATGGGTGCTCCTTTATAGGTAACTACCTGGTTTGCTCTTGCTGCTTTTAATATTCTCTCTTTTTCTTTTGCTCTTGGAATTTTAATTATGATGTGTCTTGGTGTGGTCCTCTTTGGGTTCCTTTTGTTTGGGGTTCTGTGCGCTTCCTGGACTTGTAAGTCTAATTCTTTCACCAGGTGGGGGAAGTTTTCTGTCACTATTTCTTTCAGTATGTTTTCGATATCTTGCTCTCTTTCTTCTTCTGGGATCCCCATAATTCTGATGTTGGTTCGCTTGAAGTTGTCCCAGAGGTTTCTTTCATTATCTTCAACTTTCTGGATTCTCTTGTCTTCTTGCTTCTGCGGAGGAGTGTCTTCTGGCTCTTTATGTTCCAAATCTTTGACTTGATTCTTGCGATCTTCCATTTTGTTTTTAGGACTCTGTATAATATTTTTTATTTCTGACAATGTATTCTTTATTTCTAGTTGATCCCTTGTCATATCCTCATAGGTCTCATTTATTTTATCGGTCTTTTCTAGGAAATTCTTGAAAAACCTTATAAGCGTGGTTTTGAACTCTATATCCAGTCACTTTTTGTCCTCCATTTCTTTTGTTTGTGATCTGTTTTCTTGTCTCAGCATTTTTGCTGCTTCCCTGAGTTGGTAGGGTGACTTTGTGTGTTAAGGTGTCCTATATGGTTCAGTAGGTCAGCCTTCCAGTTATCTGAGGTAGACACTCTTGGTGCACCTCTTTGTGGACTGTGTGTACAGCCTTTTGTAGTTAAGTCTTAATTGTTGTTGGTATCATTGGGAGGAACTGACCTCCAGGCCAATTGGCTGTGAGGATCAGCTGTGTCTATGCCAGGAGACAGCCTTATTCAAAAACCTCTGTGCTCAGCTTGGATGGAGTGGAGTTTCAGGGTGGAGCCTACAGCCTTGGCTTCCTGTCAGCCCCGTCCTATGAGGTTCCTGAGTCTCAGTGTTCCTCAGTGTCCTTTGGTACTCGCTGCTTTGGTACTTGCTGCAAGCACCTCTGAGAGAAAGGTGCCCTCCAGTTTCACCCACTACCAGACAGTCTAGTCTCTCCCCCAATGACTCCGGAACTGGGGTTCAATGCAGTTGGAGGTGGGGTTCAGTGTAGTCTGGAACTTTTGTATCCTTCCTGCTAGGGCTATCCAGCAGCACAGCCAACAGTCCATCCTCTGCGCGCAACGTGCACAACTCTGGGGCTCTGTCTTTCACTGCTCCCCTGAGTTTCCACCTTACAGCCCAGATTCCCTCCGTATGAGCTTGGGTCCCCAGGGTCTGGTCTAGAACTGGGGTTCAGTGCAGTCAGAATTGGGGCTCAGCACAGTCTGGAGCTTTTGTATCCTTCCTGCTAGGGCAATCCAGCGGCACAGTCAATAGTCTGTCCTCTGAGCGCAATGTGCACAACCCTGGGGCTCTGCTTTTCACCACTCCCCCAAGTTTCCACCTTATAGCTTAGAATCCCTCTGAATGAGTCTGGGTCCCCAGGGTCTCACCCAGAACTGGGATTCAGTTCAGTTGGAACTGGGGCTCAGCACAGTCTGTAGCTTTTATCTCCTTCCTGCTAGGGAACACCAACCAGGCACTCAGCCGCCCCTCCTCTCCAGCTCCGACCTCTCCCCAGGTGTGCACAGCGTCTTCGTACCTTAGGTTTTTACAGCTCCTCTGATTTTCCTTCTGGTTTTCTCTTTTCTTCTAGTTGTAGAATTTCCAGTCAGTCAACTTTCCTGTAGTTCTGGATGATGTCCACTTTATATTTTAGTTGTATTTTTTGAAATTGTTTTGTGAGGCTGCAGTTAGGCATTTACCTATTCCGCCATCTTGGTTTCTCCTTCTAGGATTGTAGTTTTATAAGTTCATTTGTCCCATTTCTTCTTGTACTCAAAAATTAACTTTTTTTTTTCTTCTTTACAGGGAAGTCTCATCTCCTCAACTAGGTTATTAGTTCTCTAGTGCAAGTAATACGCTTGTGTATATCTTTTGTGGTAGATATCTTGTTTGCTCTAAATATGGGCTGTACTTCTCTAATATTTTGTGAAGTAAACTGCAGTGTTTGGTGATTGTCTCATTAAGTTGCTGAGAATAGTAATCACTGTGTGTAGTTGATATTGGTTCTTTCTGGCTCTGATCAAATATCACTGAGGAGGGAAATCTTTGATACAAAATAGAAATCATTGGGTAGGTAGGGCATTAGATAAATTTGTCTTGGTCACAAATGATGAGGAATTTGTTTAGTGAAGTGTGGAGAGCTGCTTATTTGTATGAATTGCTAACATCAGATTTAATGCTTGTAGCTCCTCACTGTCTATCCTGGAAAGCACTCTTCAGTGCCTTTTATGAATGACTCCCTGAAATAATGGATGTGTGCCTGGTGCTAAATTTAAATAGATACAAGGCAGCTCCTTACTGTTGGTAACTCCCAATGGAATCTCTCTAGAAGGGCAAAAAGTAGGGTCAGCTTAGTCTGGGATTGCCAATTAACCATGGACTTGTTGCCTAAAGTTACCAATAATTTAGAAAAATATCTTTAAAGGGGTATGGTCAAGGGTATTCTTTAGTGCATGCACAGGAGAGGCGCATTACAAAATAGAGGCCCATTACAAAATGTTCATATTACACGGTAAAATAGAGGGTGGCCGTGAGGCAAGAGACCTATGGACTAAAAGTCAGGAGACTTAGGCTGTTTTTCAAGTTTAATATTATTGCCTCATTATTTTAGGTAAGTCACAATCTCTCTGAGTGAGGCATGCAAAATATAAAATGGAAGAGGTTGTTAAAATTGACACAGTGTTTTTCAAAGTGGTTCTGAATATTGCCTACATCCGAATGCACACAGCGTGTTAAATTGCTGATTCCTGGGCAACTTCACCCCTTACCCACTGAATCAGAGTCTATAGGGTAAGAGCTGGGAATCTCAACTTTAAAGTAGGGCCCCACATGACATTCATGTACATTAAAGTGTAGGAATGACTAGACTAATCCACATGTAAACTCCTTCTAGTTGTAGAATGCTATGCAACTAATACACATTGATTTTCTAAGTGCTACAGATGTTACTTAAAAGGTGCAATTAATCTTTGTGCTAGCGATAATTAGTTTGATCCCTACATTTTGTTTTTCCACATAACATCTTTGGGATTTTAGGGAGCACAAAAATATTGGGATTCCACTGACTTCCACAGGATAGTGTCTTTATGAATTCTCCAGGGTCTACGACTTTTCCTAATTATTGTACAATCAGAAATTCTACCTAGTATTGTCTTTGACTTAGAATTTAAATTCTGGAAAAGTCAGATGAAATAGTGTACCCCACAAAGAGGAGGTTTTCTAGGGACCAGATTTCTCCAAAATAAATTTCTCCCTTGAACAATCAGGATGGCTAATGACCACCTTTGTCCTTCTGAAACCCCATGCACTCTTCCTTGTATCATCAAGGCCTTTTTCTGATGTGTTTGATACCACCTGTTGGCTAACAGTCAAGTTAATCTTCCTGTTTTTGTCCAGTGAACTGGCCTATCTCTTGCCAATAACTATCTATTCTATTAGTCAAACTCAGAATCTTGGGATTATCTATACCAGAAGTCTCCTAAACAGTATTTATGGGATATAATAATTATAGAAATAAATTCTTTAAAAAATGTGCCTATTCATTTTAGAAAGAGATGAAGGGAGATGGGGAGAGAAGCATTGATGTGAGAGAAAAACATCCATCAGTCATCTCCCCTATACACTCCACTGGAGACCAAATCTGACCAGGGCATATGCCCTGACTGGGAATTCAACTGGCCACCTTTCAGTCTATGAGAGGACACTTAACTGAGTCACATTGGCTAGGGCTAGAGAAAATTCTTATAAAACTTGGGGCCATATAGATCCAAGCTGGGAGATGTCCATGGATATTTATTTTTAATAACTTTTTATTTTGAGATAGTTTCATACAAGAAGTTGCAAAAACAGTAGCGTTTCCATGTACTCTTTACCCAGCTTTCCCTAATAATAATGCCTGTATAACACTACTATGTTGTCAAAATAATAGTGTTACACACAATACTATCAACTCAATTACAGATGTTACTTAATATGTATTTTAAAAATATTTTAATTGATTTCAGAGAGGAAGGGAGAGGGAGATATTAAACAATAAGAGGAGAGAGAATCATTGATCTGTTGCCTCTTGCATGCCCCCTCCTGGGGATCAAGCCTGAAACTTGGGCATGTGCCCTGATAGGGAATTGAAAACCCTGAACTCCTGGTTCATAGGTCCACGCTCAATCACTGAATGACATAGGCTGGACCAGATGTTATTAATTTGTGACGTTGGGGAGTTGTGTGAATGATGAGAAAAGGGTAGGTGACAAGGTGAAATAAAATCCCTTCTCTGGTTCTGCAGTGCAGCACTTATCTAATATTAAGCTTTTATTGTATCTGCCAGGGATTGCAAATTTTCATCCTCTACACTGTCAGAACAAAAATCTTCCAGAATGAAGCTGCCAAAATGTTGAAGCTGCTATCATCATCCGCTGATAGAGTGAAGCTGCTGCCATCCAAGACCAGGATGAGGCTGCGTGCGAGGATGTATAACATGCTCAGCTCATTCCCAGCCCTAAACGAACGCTTTAGGCTGCTGGAGCCAGCTGTGGTTACCGAGGAAATGACACTCTCTGAAAGTGACCAAGCCAGCATAAGCATCTAGACAGTAAAGCCATTGCCTTCTGTGGTCCTTCTCATTCAACTTGTGTGAGTTTTGCTTTTTCTATTTCTTTCCTTTGTTAACTAGTCCTTCAGGAAAGTCTCCCTCAATATATTTAGCTCAAGGTTAAAAACCAGGTAAAACCTGTTGTTTTTTTTTATCATCAGGGATCCTGGATTTGGTAGGTCCCCCCCCAACCCCCCTTGTTATTCAACAGATTCTTACCTGAACGAGGTGAAGAATCCCATCCAGCATTCAAAATAATTCAAGATTATCATTGCTCTGTGTATATCATAAAGTCTGTGACAAACTTTGATAAAAATGTAGAACCTAAACAAATTTCTTTTATGATTTACTACAAAGGATACAAGGAGAAAAATTTACCACCTGATGGACACTGTGAAGAGTTGCTTGTATGCATCATACTTTTGACCTGTGAATATTTAAAATTTGTATGTGCTTATACTTTCTAATTAAGAATTTTGTATCCATTTAACCTCTGGAAAGGGAATTTTTTTGTTGTTTTAAAAAAATCACGTTTTATGACTCAGAAGTTGGATCTATGAGAAATGGGTGGGGGGAAATAGAAATATTAGCTGGTTACTAACACCTCTGGATATTTCCTACTACTTCTTAATATATCTGCCTTTTCATTGATGAAATGACACAGAGCCTCACAAAGTGAAAACATTAGTCACAGTCATCCCTGTGGCTTTTGAAAGATCTAACTAATTGCTCATGAAATTTTAAACACTTGAACTATGAATGACTTCCTAAATAATAATAATAAAAAAATGACCTCCACTGGGTTGGGGGGTACTCCCACTGGAATTAGGAGAGACAGTCTTTGAATTACTGTTTTGCCAAGAACTAGGCAGTTGCCATGAGCACACTAAACTAAGGCACTAACATGTCAGGTGAGCTGTGGCCTGCTCTTTTCACAACACATTAAAGTAGGTGTGTGTTTTTATAGAAACGGTTTTAAATGACAGTTGTGTTCCTAGACAAGACAACAAGAACCTGTTTCATCTGTAGAATAATTGAGACCTTATAGGGTAATGCAGAAAGGTAAAGGGAAAAGAATAAAGAAGAAAAGCTGTTCTCAGAGATCAGTGTTTTTGTGGTGTTATGGTGCTACGCCTAGGTAGGGGCTGGACACAGGTCAGGGTGGTTTATTTCCAAAGAAACTACATGTAGTTTCTTTGGAAATAAACCACCCTGACCTTTGAAAATTATAAGATGTGGTTGACCTATTCTATTTCTCAAAATATATATTCAGATAAAATTAAATCTTAAGTAAGGGCCATTTTAAATATGGAAAGAAAAAAAAAAGCACCAAAGAGCCACATTTACTCTGAGGGTGGAGTACATGTATTCCTTTGTCGGTTTTAGTTTTCTTCGCACTTTTTCAGCATTCTTGGTATATAGCAACCAGAATTCCTTATAACATTCCTGGAATAGCTATACCATAAACTTGTAAGCCCCACTTACATGCTGTGGAGGCTAAGTCAGACAGACATTGATGTATCTGCCCTGAAATATAACCACGAGACAACAATTCTATTTAAAAGGATCTTTTTTGTTTAGTAATAGAGATCCAACTCAAATTAGGTTAAGGGTCAAAGAGAATGTAATGGCTCAATTAATTGTAAAGTCCAAAGGCCAGGTTGGTTTTAGGTAGGGTTCTGGTTTGCCTGGACCAGTCTCAATTTGTGTCTGTTGTCCTGACGTAGGTATTACCAGCAGCCCCTTTTACTCTCGAAAGTGTCCTGGTTTGAGGCATAAATATATATGATAATGTTAACTTATTTAGAGTTCAAATGCAAGGAATTCAAAGAATGTGTCAAGATTCTTTTTATCTCCCCGTCTTATGGCTCTCTGTGCTTCTGTGTTTGGCTTTATTCTCAAATTGGGCAGACATGGGTGGCAATTGGCTGTTAGTATCTCCATCCTTCTACCTTGCAACCTCCCATCAGTGTCTCCTGGCATCTGTAGCCAGCCAGAAGCCTGCTGAGCTAGGAGCCGGGGGGCTCATTCCCTTGTGATATGGAGCACAGAATGGGGAGGGAGAGGAAAGGACCTCAGAACCGGCACACCTTGCTTGGTCACGTGCCCACAGGCGTTGTGTCCAGCCTGGGTCACATACCCGCTGTGAAGTGGAGGAATGGGGGACGACTTGGTTGACAGGATATCCTGAAGTGGAGAATGGACAGTTAGGCCAAGCATGGGATGCTGGCAGCATCCACTACATCACCTGACAAAATCCAAGTGCCCTCTAGGAAGGCAACCAACCACCTGGAGGGTCATCAATCATTTTATTCTGAGTAAGTCTATTAGATTCTTGCCTGAGCAGGGTTTGAATGGGGTGGGTAAGGAAAGCAAGAACTTATTTGTAGCCTTGGAAGTTGAGGAGCAAGGATACAGACTTATAGGTGACTTAAAGAATTTCAGGAAAGATGAGATTACTGCAGAACTGGTTTTTGTGATCTTATATGAGGCCAACTTTCGTGGTTCTGATTTATAGTGTGTGATAACAGTGCCCTTTAGCCTTTTAATTGTGGCAACACATGTAGTTTCTTTGGAAATAAACCACCCTGACCTTTGAATTTCCTTTCCTGGGTCTTAACTGTCAGTTCAGAGCTCACTGTTTAATCGCAAGAGTCTGGATTGTTTTTTTTCCCCCTGAACTCTTCTCATTTTAAAGTTAATCTTTCCTTCCTTCCTTCCTTCCTTCCTTCCTTCCTTCCTTCCTTCCTTCCTTTTCTTTCTTTCTTTCTTTTTTTTCCCTTCCTTCCTTTTCTTTCTTTCTTTTTTTTTTTTTCTGACACCAACAAATAGAGATTATTCTCTAAGTCACATGTGTCAAACACAAGGCCAGCGGGCCAAATCCGTCCCACCAGGCCTTGCAATGTGGCCCGCACCGCGCTGTCATCACTGCACTCCGCTGCGTTTCCATCACAATGACAGTTTATGACTGTTCAGTAAACCATTCGGCCCGCGATTTAGGCTGGATTTTAGATTTTGGCCCCTTCTCTGATTGAGTTCGACACCCCTACTCTAAGTCATGGCTATCAGTTGGTCATTGCCTTATCAGAAGAGCTTGGCCTTCTTTGCAAACATTTGGGAAACCCTAGCCAAAAGTATTGACTAATTATATCAGCCTGTCAACTATAAGAGCTCTCTGGTTCTGTGGAACCTCCTTAATGTGACCCTGGGACTTTAAGTGCCTGGCTGGCAGATTAGGTCCAAGACAGAGCCACCAGGATTATGTGTAGAACCTGGGGCAAAGGTTCAGGGGTTGAGATGAGGCAGGTTACATTTACATTTATATGTTTAAAACACCATGTTAGCCATCTTATAATGATTTTAAAAGATATAAAGTATATATTTTTAAAAAGGAAAATTCATAATTCCCTATCCAAACATATTAATGTCTATTTTGTCATGTTCCCTTATGTTCTTTGTTTGATTATATAAGAATTTTACTGAAATCTATCAATATATATATAAAAACCTAAGCTGACTGACCAACCAGCTGATTGGCCAGTAGCTATGACACACACTGACCACCAGGGGGCAGACGCTCAATGCAGGAGCTACCAAGCTGTGGTCACTTGGCAGTGGCGGTCGTTGGGTGACACACCTGGAACCAGAGAGGAGGGAGCCCAATTCTGGAATACGTTACTCGAGAATCGCACTCTCGAAATCCAGAACCCCTTTGGAGATGTTGGAGAGCCAGTTTGGCCTGATCTCCACAGGTCAGTCCAAGGAATCCCACCAGTGCGCATATTAGTGCACTGGGCCTCTAGTAATAATAAAAAAAACACCCTTACTCCGATTTTTACTTTAAATCACCTTTTAATGAAATCCTTATAATAATTAATGATTGCATAATATAGTATAGTTTACTAGGTTGTTTTATTAATGGATACTATATCATTTCCATTTTTAATATTATAGTGTCGAATGAATAAATTAGTACCTATATTTTTCCTTTCTTTTTAATTATTTCCTTAAGATAAATTCTCAGGAGTTCCTTTTCATTAGGGATATTTGGTGAAAATATTTTCTTCATTTTATTATTTTATTCTTTTTTAATATAATAAAATTACCCTCTGCATTTAATTTTAAAAATCCAAAAGATTTATAAAGGATTTAGCAATTTTTTTTAGTTTATGTGTCCTCCCATAGGCAGATTATTTTGAATTTAGGATTAAGGAATATATTAGGGACTATGTAAGAAGCTTTTAAAATGAAGAACAGGGACATAAATATGCCAACCAAAGACAAACGAATCATGTGTGACAGGCACATGACATGACTAACCCTTAATTATATCAGTCAGCTGTTGGATGAGGTTCCATGAAAAAGTTATTTTTTCCTCTTAAATATGTTTTTTGACTATTTTTGTCCATCTATCTTTTTAAAAAAAATAAAACATTAAATCTTGGGGAAGAGAGGAATAAGCTTTATTAACAATTATTTACTAACACACACAAAAGACCCAAAGTAGTGTTACATATGCCTCATCTATAGTACTTCATTTACATATAGGTACAGTATTAAAATGTGTGTTTTAAAATAATATATAATAGTTGCTGAAAAACTATTAAGTAAGAAAATCGGGAGGAAAATAATTTAGGAGCAAAAAGTAAGAAACCAGGCATGAGATTACTACCCAAGAAGCATGTTATAAGGTCTGGTATTTTTGCTAGGAGTGGGCCACAGATTGGACTATCAGCTTTCTGACAGCCAACATAAATAGGGAAATGTAATCACACAAGTCACATATCTCTTAACAATAAAATAAATAAACACAGTTATTCCAACACCTACTTAAAATTGATATTAAGGTTTCTTGAAAATGTCCATCTGGATACATTGCCAAATGAGAGGGTAAACTGTTTTGAACAAACAGAAGGGTTATTACATTTGGAAATGCAGTTTCCATGCCTGTCAGTTTGCTAAGTGTATGCTAAACAGTCATGGTGATGATCAGTGTTACTTCAAAGTTACACAATACCATGTATCTACAAAAACACACACTTAATGTGCCACAAGAACCTTCAGAACCACAAATGAGGCACTGAAGACTTTCTTCTTTTAAAAATATTAAAGTGGTTTTCCTTAATCTGGTTATTGGAGTTAGTTTTCTGTTTTGTTTGCTTTGGTAAGGGGCTTGTTCTCTTTATTTAAAAATTTTAAGTAAATTTAATTGATCTGTAATTTACATGAAATAAAATCACCAATTTTAAGTATATAATTAAATGAATTTAACAAATGTATACACCTATGAAACCACCACCCCATACAAGATTAAGAACATTTCTATCATTCTATAATGTTCTCTAGTTCTCCTTCCCAATTAAACCCTTCCCGGATCCCCAGC